TCCTCCTCCTCCTCCTCCTCCTCCTCCTCCTCCTCCTCCTCCTCCTCTTCCCCTTATTCCCCCCCTCCATTGTAAATATGAACCACCTGCCAAACATCTGAATTTTGATTATGTAAACATGACGATGCTGCAAAGGTTGTAAGTTTGGAAACCCGTCCTAAGTCACGTTTTTCAGGGTCATTGTCACTAAAAGAACTGTCGTAAGTTGAAGACTACCTGTAATATTAACTTCATTAATCTCCCTCACCACAGGGGTATGTTCGCTGACTGGATTTATTGATAAGACGGATAAAGGCAAGGTTAATAATTAAATAATTTGAAATAATTAAACTGTTTTCACCCCCTGTCTTCTGCTGCTGTATCTGAAATAGAATTACGCCCTCTGCTGGGATAAGACTATAACGTTTTTATTATATATATATATATAATAAATATATATATATATATTCATAAATATTTTGAATATAGTGTATTGTCAGGGCATATCATTTACAGAAAAACAAAGAAAGAACAAAAAGAAATATTCATATATATACTAACAACAACAATAATAATAGCATAACAGAATAATTTTAACTAGATTTGTCTTTATATTAGCTTATTTGTGATTCTGTTGGTTATATTGATATCTTTAAAATTATAAACCACCTTTCTATTTAATTCATGCATAGCAATAATCTTTCTTCATCTAATTTCTACCTCTTATCTCTAGCCACTCGTAAAATCTATTCCATGTTAAATAATATTATGTATTATTATTATTTATTTAAAATAAATTTGCTGGAAGACTACACAACAAAAGGGACGGGCTGAAATTCCTGGAAGGATGGAGGAAAGAGGAGATGATACGATAATGCAATGTAATTTCACACTCGACTGGCTTAGGGAAGGAAATGTACTATTTAAAGACCCGATTCAGAAATAAGCTAAGCAGAGCTGTCCATTCCTCTTAAGAGGAAGACCGTTCAACAGTCTTGTCCAACGCAACAGAATCCGCATCGGCTAAGAAACTCCACTTTGTGAAATCCTTTAATCTCATCCAACGGGTCTCCCAAGCCAGTTTCAGATGAATTGCCCAACGAAAGCATTGATGGTAAATGTTGGGACAAGAGGTCCAGCTCAGATTGGATGTTGGTTTGTTTCAGAGGTCGCATAAAGCCGGTTCGGACTGGTTCTAGAGAACCGGTAGCAGAAATTTTGAGTGGTTTGGAGAACTGGCAAATACCGCTTCTGACTGCCCCTGCCCCCATCTATTCTCCGCCTCCCATTGAATCCCAGCTGATGGGCTGGGTCTTCTTTGGTTGCCCTGCACAGGAGAACGGAGCTGGAAAGCAGGTTAGTGGGGTGGGGAGGGAATGGGGATTTTGCAGTACCCTTCCCCTGCCACGCCCACCAAGCCACGCCCACAGAACCAGTAGTTTTTAAAAAAATGAATCCCACCACTGGTTCGTTTCTTTGTTTTTTAAAAATTAGGAGCCGGTTGACTTTGCACACGATAAACAAGCCTCCCTCCTGGAGAGGAGAACGGGTTGGAGGAAAGGGATCGCCTCAAGGTTTGGGGGCGGGTGGGTGGGTGGGAGTTTGGGGGCGGGTGGGGGAGTGGGACTGGCTGTAGATTCCAGGAAGGTTTCCAGGAAAGCTGAGTGTAATCAGAATGAGATGCTAAAAATTCAAGTTGGAAAAGAAATACCTACAAGAAAGATAGAAAACATTGGGGAGGACATTTGAGCTTCCTCCCCCTTCCTCTTTCCCTTCCTTCCTTCTTTCCTTCCTTCATTCTTTCTTTCCTTCCTCCCTTCCTTCTTCCCTTCTTCCATCTTCCTTCTTCCCTTCCCTTCCTTCCTTCTTTCCTCCCCTTCCCCTTTTCCTCCTTCCCTCCTTCCCTCCCCTTCCCCTTCCTTCCTTCATTCCCTCCTTCCTTTCCCCTTCCCCTTTTTCTCCCTCCCCATTTTCCTTTTCCTTCTTCCTTCTCCTCCTCCCTTACTCCCCTCCTCTCCTCCCCCTCCCCTTTCTCCTTCCTTCCTTCCCTTATCCTTTTCCTCCCTCCTGCCCTCTATCCCAACCATCTTCCTCCCTCCCTCCTCTTCTCCTTCCTTCCTTCCCTCCTTCCTTTCCCTTTCCCCTTTTTCTCCCTCCCTCCTTCCCATCTTCCTTTTCCTTCCTTCCTCCTCCTCCCCCTCCCTTTTCTCCTCCCCTTCCCCTCCCCTTCCTCTTTCCTTCCTTCCTTCCTTCCCTCCCTTACCCTTTTCCTCCCTCCTTCCCTCCCTCCCAACCATCTTCCTCCCTCCCTCCCTCCTCTTCTCCTTCCTTCCTTCCAATGGTGGGATTCATTTTTTTTTTTTTTTACTACCGGTTCTGTGGGCGTGGCTTGGTGGGCATGGCAGGGGAAGGATACTGCAAAACCTTGTCAGAGGTGGTATTTGCCAGTTCTTCGAACTACTCAAAATTTCCACTATCAGTTCTCTAGAACTGGTCAGAACCTGCTGAATACCACCTCTGCTTCCCTCTCTTTTTCTTCCTTCCTTCCTTTCCTCCCTTCCCTTCCCTTCCCTTCCCTTCCCTTCCCTTCCTACCTTCTTCTTCCCCTTCCCTTTTTCCTCCCTCCTTCCCTTCCTCCCAACCATTTGGTAGGGATAAAAGAGGCCTACAAAGAGGACAATTAAGGAGAACAGACAGGCACAATAGTTATTTGACAGAAATCTTTCCACTTACCAGCTGGAATAACCACTGAAGATAGATGCATCTTATAGGAAAACACATCTAATCCTTTTTTTTCCCCAGATGGAAAAATAATGGCATCAAACAATAAAAAGCTGCAGAGTCCTTTGCCCTATTTGATTACTGAATCAAATTTTACAAAGAAGAATTTTGAAAGCAATTATCAGGCAGAAAAACTGGACCTTATTATTATTATTTTTGACTGTGAAAGCAAGCATTTTAAGGGAGCCCAGCAGAGATAATGAACTCAAAAGAGAGGCAATTATTCTCTTCTGCCATGATTATTAGAAATAATAGCTAATAAGATAAAAGCTTGGCGGATCTGCTCCATTCCAGCCTAGACTTTCTGCCAAAGGAACACAGACCTAATGAGTAAGTTACGAAAAAGTTATATATTTTTCTCTTATGTACAACATACTCATCCAGACAGATCTAGTAAGAGGAACGACAGCAAGATAGAGAAGCTACAATTTGTCAATCAATCAGAATGGAGCCAGAAGGGACCTTGGTGGTCATCTAGTCCAACCCCCTGCTCAAGCAGGAGATCCTATAGCATTTCAGACAACTGGCTGTCCAGTCTTTTCTTAAAAATCTCCAGTGTTGGAGCATTCACAACTTCTGGAGGCAAGTTGTTCCACAGATTAATTGTTCTAACTATTCAGGAAATTCCTCCTTAGTTCTAGGTTGCTTCTCTCCTTGATTAGTTTCCATCCATTGTTTCTCATCTTGCCTTCAGGTGCTTTGGAGAATAGCTTGGTCCCCTCTTCTTTGGGGCAGACTCTCAAATATTGGAACACTGCTATTCACCCCTATTCACACACTGTTCACCCCAGTCCTTTTTTTAAAAAAAGAGTTTTATTTAAAAAAAAACAAAAAACATACACATACAAAACATAAAAACATTCAACCATCTTCCATTTTATATACATACAGTGTGTGTTATATTCTGAGCATGGGCGCAAGGAACGGAGACGAGTCAGAGAACTAGTGAACTTCAACTCTTTATTAAGGATTAGGAACAGAGCAAAAACCCTGGGCAGCAGCAGCTCTTTTATAGAGCTGGCTGCTGACCCGTTAACCAATGAATTGTGTCCAAATGCTTAAATTGTGCCCAATGAGAGGTGTTCAACTAATAGCCAATCAGGCTGCTCCGTAAGGACCAATCCCTGCTCGCTATCCATGGGCCAATCAAAGGTGCAGGATTACGACCCTGCTTATTGTGAGGTTGACAAGTTTTATTAAATAGTTTTTATTAGTTCATAACACCCCTATCCCTAGGTTCCGTTCGAGGGGTGCAGTAACATACTCGCGTAGATATGCAGGTCGTTTCACCTGCCTGTTTGATTTTCGCTGTTCCACCGGTTTTTGTCTGCAGTCCGATTCCGGTGGAACGCTTTCAAGGTTTTCTGGTACGGCTAGTTCCGTTTCTGTGCGGGAGGACTCGGCACGGCTATCGTTGTTGTTATCCCAGTCTCCTAGGCTTACTTCCGGGTCCCGTGGGCTTGCCTCCCTCGTGCTATTTCCCCGCGGTGATGCCACCCCGCTCCCTGATTCTTCTTCAGGTTGCGCGTTTCTTTGGTTGGGTTGCTGGGTCCCCGTGATTATGTCGTCATCTATTTCGTTTTCGGCCTCCTCGATATCCCCTCCCCCCTTAGTTTGCGAATTATGGGAGTCACGGGAGGTGGGTGCCAATCTGGATCGAAGCTGATCTATACGGCGTTTCCATGCTCTCCCATCATTAGTCTGTAGGCGGTAGGATCTGGGGCCGGTGGGTTGGGTAATAGTTGCAGGGACCCATAATGGGTCGCCAGAAAAGTTTTTAGCAAACACCAAGTCGCCTACCTTGAATTCACGCTAGATCCGAAAGGTTTTTCTGGTGAATAAGAAGGATGGAGATGGTTGAGGTGGGAGCGAAGTCTCCGCCCCATTAGCAGTTCGGCAGGCGTCTTATTCGTGATGCTGTGTGGGGTGATGTGTTGAAGCAGG